CTGCTGCTGCTGCTGCTGCTCTGCTGCTGCTGCTGCTGCTGCTGCTCTGCTGCTGCTGCTACTGCTGCTGCTGCTGCTGCTGCTGCTGCTGCTACTACTACTGCTACTACAGCTGCTGCTACTGCTGCTGCTGCATGCTGGCGTGGCGATGACGGTTGTATCTAAGCAGCATTGTCACGTTATGTGCGGTCTCTCGCTCTCTTGCGAGCGTTTCCGCTCCCTCTAACTCTCTCTTCCCCCTCTCCCTCCTTCACTCTCTCTTACACATTCTCTCTCTCCCTTTCCATCTTTTTCTTATCTTGTTGATGTTGATCTCTGATTGTTTATGCAGATGACAATACTTTCAATACTTCAACAGAGATGCCAACCACTACGATTTATCCGTATTTTATACGAATTTCGATTCCTTTTGCACCACCACGACCAGTTTGTATCAAACTACGAATTTCACTGTGATAGAAAAAAAAATTTTGTTGTAAATTTATTGTCATTTTTGACCCTCAGAATGCAGGAAATTGCATCTCAGAATCAAACAATTTTCCGGGGGGGCATGCGTGACCCTCGAACTACTAATTTGAAGGCCAGAAACTACAGATTGCTTCAAATATGTGTTGGCATCTCTGCTTCAATTCAATTCCCACATTGCTCTCTGTCTCTCCATCCATCCGTCTGCCTCTGCATCTCACTGCGTCGAATTCGGCTCTTGCAGGTGGAAAACCAGATGACATCACGGTGGTGCTGGCGTCGGTGACCTTGAATGACTAATGAAGGTCGTCTCGCCGCGGGGGAACACTAGTTGCCGTTGCCATCGGTTCGTGCCGCGTTCCGGGAATTCCAGACGTCGTCGCAAAACTCGGAACTCTCGCTGGGATCGCCATGGCAACCGTCGGACTCCGACGACCCATCCAGCGTCCGTCTGCGGATGTTGATGCTTCGAGGGGGAAGTCGGTGGCGGCGTTTCGCGCGCTGTGCGCTTCTCGAATCCGGGACGAACCCACCTTGCCGCTGCCGGACACAGTCGCCGATGTTTCATAGGAAACGTGGAAATTGCTGGGATCTGGGATAGCGTGTTCCTTTCTGAGGGTGTTCTCCGGAACGATCTCTCCCACTGAGGGTCTGGTTTTCCCCCGAAAAGAGGAACACTACTGTGATGTTATTGTAGGATGCAGTCAGAGCGTGCTTTCTTTCTCTCTGGTGGCGTGGCACCAGGGTTCGAATTTTGGGTGAAAATCTAGTGGACAGCAGGACCACCAACTTCAGAAAGTTGGTGGTCCTGCACAAAAGTTGGTGGTCCGCTTATTTACTAGCAGTGAGTAACAAAATAGTATACAAAAATAACCATTGGCATTAACAGCATAGATGTAACTTAGAGTTGGTTAAATAATATATCTCAAGCTCTAGGAATGCTGGGGGAGCTTGTGGGAAAGGTTTTACTTTCGTTTTTTTTCTCCCCAGTCCACGGTACCCCCATGCATAGATCAATGCTGCTGCACATCTGCAAAGTTACAAGTGCCTATAGAATCTTGATACAGTTAACATTGCTTCTAGATATCTAACTGAATAAAAATAGTCCACTTTCTACGTAAAGAAAAGTGCCGAATTCAGTTAACAGCTTTGATTACGTGCATGTCAGGTATCACTGGTCGTGCCCTCACTCCCCACGATAACCCCTGCGACATATGAACTTATTGTTATGCGGTCATAAAAACACTGGGGTCATGCCGCAATCGATTTCTTAGACTGTCACGAGGTTTTGTTCGTGTGGCGAATCATGCGTTGAGGGAGTTCATGCCCTCGGCTCTAGATGTTTTGGATACCCCGTCTACACTCAGGAACCGAGCATATTAGAATGCGCTCCCGTTTACAAGTCTGTCTAAACAGCCGTTGCGATAACCGTAGTATTTCAGCGTAATATGAGGGGAAAAAGTGCCGGTCAGGAGGACCGGCAGTTTCGTAGAGATTGTGGCCGAAGCAAAAACTTGGTGGCCTCGGGCCTCCGGGTTGGCACCAATTTCGAACGCTGCGTGGCGCGCACCCGCTTTCACGTAGGCGCCCGAAATCCAACGCTCGTCCGTA